ATATCAGCTTTTGCTTTTACAGATAGCTTGGAAGATCTCAGATTATTATGTGACAAGGAAATCCCTTTGTGGGTTTCTGACAATAGTAAAAACCTTTATTTACTCTTGTTTCAGGTGAATGGCAGCGAGTGGTCGTGGCGCAACCTGAACACCCTCTGTTGGGCTGTGGGCTCTATCAGTGGTGCTATGCCAGAAGAGGATGAAAAGAGATTCTTGGTTATTGTAATCAAAGATCTCTTGGGTCTCTGTGAGCAAAAGAGAGGCAAAGATAACAAAGCCATCATTGCTTCAAATATCATGTACATTGTAGGACAGTACCCAAGATTCCTTCGTATACATTGGCGCTTCCTCAAGACTGTCATCAACAAACTTTTTGAGTTCATGCATGGTGAGTGTCTTGTGAGCTGCGTTTTTTTTATTGGTTTGCTCTTTTAACTAGAATGCTATGCCAGAAGAGGATGAAAAGAGATTCTTGGTTATTGTAATCAAAGATCTCTTGGGTCTCTGTGAGCAAAAGAGAGGCAAAGATAACAAAGCCATCATTGCTTCAAATATCATGTACATTGTAGGACAGTACCCAAGATTCCTTCGTATACATTGGCGCTTCCTCAAGACTGTCATCAACAAACTTTTTGAGTTCATGCATGGTGAGTGTCTTGTGAGCTGCGTTTTTTTTTATTGGTTTGCTCTTTTAACTAGAAACTGAAAGAAATGTATTGAATTTCCCAGATAGTTTTTTGCCCAATGCCTCTGAGCCATCTAAAATGCTGGCATGGCATCAAAAACACAACACCCAGAGGCAGTGACTTAATGATAACACTGACTATCATCAGTGTTAATTAATTTTATAAAGAATAATTTATTGATTTACTCATTGTCATGATTTGCTACATCTTGAGTTTTAACAAAATTTCTGAAGACTTAACAGTGTTCTTTTGAATTTTTGAATGTTATTTGTTTTAAAGCACAAAGATTTAGTACTTTTATTCTCAATTATTTCTTCTTTTATTATGCATTGAAAGTATTGTTCTGTAAGAACTTGTAATTAAGGTTCACCAACACAATATTCATGTTTCTCTTTTCTTTTAAACAGAAACTCATGATGGTGTACAAGACATGGCTTGTGATACATTTATCAAAATTGCACAAAAATGCAGGCGTCAGTTTGTGCAAATGCAAGTTGGGGAAGCTATGCCATTCATTGAGGAAATCTTATCTTCCATTAATTCTATTATCTGTGACCTACAGCCTCAGCAGGTGAGTTATATAAACATTTTTAATCGAATGTTGCATTGTTTGCTTTTGACAGGATTAAACCACTGGCTGAAGACGATGCAACTACAAGCTATGTCCTTTGTAATTTTAGCTTACTAATTGTGTTGACAGAGATGACTCCACAAGTTCTTAGTCGCCAAAGAATCAATTGTTAGTCCTACCTATCTCATCTATGTACCCTTTTTCTTGATTTTTTACAAGATTCTTTTTTTGTAATTTTATTACTTTCATTATTAGTAGTACTCTAATAACATGTTAATCATAATGTCAGTGATGAATACAATATCAATATTAACCCATTCGCGCTGGGTGTCATGTATACATGACATGCCCACTGTGAGATTACTTGTTTAATTGTTTTTACACATAGATGGCTACACTTGTTGCGAGTACTGCTTGTCTTGCCCGTTTACCCTTTTCTTTAATTTACGAAAATATTTTACGTTATCTTATTTTGCTGTTACTAATGTTTATAACATTATAGTAATTATAATGTTTATAATAAAAATAACCATCGATATTCATAGCACTAGTAGAAAATACATTTTCCTGCCAAATGAAATCAGGTAAGGCAGAGCCATCTATGTGTAGAGACATTTCACAAAAAGTATAAAAATGAGCACAGCATTTTCCCCATTTTTTTTTGTTCATTTTTACCTGTTGCGAATGGGTTAATAGCATTAGAAAAAAAAATTCCCACAAATTCAAGGGCTTAGTAATCAACTCCTTGATGGCTGAGCATTTATGGAACCATGTGTGGACAAAGTACAGTATATAAAATTGCAGCCATTGCTATAAAAAGTGTGATTCTTTATTATTTCTTTCATTGCCTTGTAAGTGGAGCTCTGCATTTCATGACTTGTAATATGAAAATGCTATTATACCTCTTATGTCTTGGTACCTTTGTGTAAAGGATGCTCTCCTGTTATGCATACTGTTATTGAGTACAGTGATAGTTATACTGCATTATAGGTACATGTTAACTTGTCAATGATATCATCAGAAGTCTTTGTGTCACTGACTTGGGTGATTTCTGGCAACTGGCCTGCTATTTGGCCTGGGAGTCTGCTACATGTAGTGAAATTTCCCACACGACTCTCTGTAGTGTGCAACTCCTATAGCCATACCTCGCATGATGAGTCAGTTTGTTATGACGGCTATAGGCGAGACCTGGCAGATACGGGTCAAAGTCTAAACTTTCTTGTTCTTGCTTTTCATGACAACTGGATGGTTTGTTAAAATTGTGTGAGGCCTGACTCAATGAATATTCAAATATACAGATATTCATATACACAGAAATGAAGGCTTTTCTATCTAGACATGCATATCTGCTAGATAGATAGAAAAATGTATATCTGTCAGAGAGATAAATAGATAGATATGCATTTATTTCTGTTTATATGCATGTCCGTATATACACATATTTGTTGGATTAGGCCTTGCACAATTTTAACAAACCAGCTAAATATCTGCAATATTTCTCTCATGCATCATTAGTTATTTGTTTTTTGTTTTAAGATTTTGTTAATTTTATCCTCTTGCACTAGAAATCACTGTCAATGAAGTGATTTAGTTTTACTACTCAGTTTACAGTTCACTTTTCCCTACTGCAATTATCCTGTTCTCAGAAGACAATTTATCATTATATTGACTATTCGTTCTAGACCTCTTTTGCCAGTGTTGCTAAAGATTCTAAACATGGATAGTTACACTGCTCCTTGTCCTTATCCTACCTTTTCTTTCTTAATGTAATTGAGGTTTTATTTTATTTATTAAATTTTAATTATTATTATTTTGGAAATTAAATTTTTAAAATTGAATTTATAAGCAAGATGTTTTATTCTTCCCTCTTTTTCTTGTACAGGTGCACACATTCTATGAAGCAGTGGGTTACATGATCAGTGCCCAGACCGACCAGGTTGTTCAAGAACACCTGATTGAGAAATATATGATGCTACCAAACCAAGTCTGGGATGAAATCATAAATCAGGCATCTAGGGTAAGTGATAAACTATGAATTGACATAAATCCCAAGAGTTTCTTTGAAAATTTTGTATTTGTCAGTTTCTTTAGAGATATTAAAGGACTTTTTGATCTGTTTTCCAGAATGTGGACATCTTGAAGGATTCAGATGTTGTTAAACAGTTGGCAAACATTCTGAAGACCAATGTCAGGGCATGTAAAGCTCTAGGACATCCATTTGTGACACAGGTAAGGAGTGCAAAATTAATAGACATGTAAGGCAGATTCTATCGTTCTGTCTCTCCATCCTTGAAGTGAATTAGATGTAAGACATATAGATGTCTTGTTACTTAAATGAAATAACAGTTTTCTGATGCTTTTATTCCAGCTCGGGAGAATCTATTTGGACATGCTGAATGTGTACAAGGTCATGAGTGAAAACATTAGTGCAGCTATTGCCCTCAATGGGGAAGGGGTCACAAAACAGCCCCTCATTAAGTCCATGCGGGTTGTGAAGAAGGAGACCCTCAAGCTCATTTCTGGCTGGGTGTCCCGGTCTGAGGATCACACGCTGGTGTTGGATAACTTTATTCCTCCGCTGCTGGAGGCCGTTCTCCTCGATTACCAGGTTTGTATTGGTGGCCAGTAGAACTTCATGGAGGGATGTCTGAGATTTGGCATTGTCCGTAAGCATTCATGCATTTAAGCCCAACTTGTGTGCTGTTTGTCGGAATTGTGTATGCATTTTGTGATTGTTTATGAACATGCAGTGGTTACTACATATGTGCTATATCTTTCTATTATCTTTACAGCGAACGGGAGTGCCGTCTGCTCGAGAACCTGAAGTTTTGTCAACTATGGCAACAATAGTCAATAAATTGGAGTCACACATCACACTCCAAGTTCCTCAGATCTTTGATGCCGTCTTCGAGTGTACATTATCAATGATCAACAAAGATTTTGAGGAGTTCCCCGAGCACAGAACAAACTTCTTCCTTCTCTTACAGGTAAGTTATTTTCTTGGGAGTAACAATCAGTACTCTATTATCACTTACTTTTTTTCAAACTTATTGTTGTCAATTTCACTTTTTTAGGATGAGTAGTAGAATAATGTACAATTGCTCCAGAGAATAAATGTACTACTAAATTTTTTTTTTTTTTGTATTTTCAGGCAGTAAATACGCATTGTTTCACTGCACTCCTCAACATACCCCCAGCACAGTTCAAACTAGTGTTGGACTCCATAATATGGGCATTCAAACACACAATGAGAAATGTTGCCGACACAGGCTTACAGATTCTTTACCAGCTGCTGCAGAATATTTCGACCCACGAACGGGCGGCAAGCAGTTTCTACCAGACTTATTATACAGACATTTTGCAGCATATTTTCTCAGTTGTCACGGATTCTTCTCACACAGCTGGTAAGTTGTTGAGAATAAATGGTATTATTTATGATTTATTTTTTTATTGTATCCCATTGTTTAATTTTTAAAAACTTAACTGTTATTCAGAATGGAGATTTAATTCTAATTATGTTAGTTTTTGTTAGGATTGTTTTTGTGATTGCATGGCAATCACATAACTAACAATGGCAAGTTAGTGTCACCCAGCCCCTCAAGTCAAGTTTTTTCATGATATGATGGTCACGTCATCTGGATTGAAGGGGTTAAGAGTTAAACCATTAAATCCTCATAGTGTGCAGCTAATGACAAAATGAAAGTTAACCAGAACCGAGAATACAGAAACATCACTGCTTAATGTTGTCAGCATTTGCTTTGACTATGTCTTTTAATTGTTTATTAATTTTTTTTGTTTTATCTTTTCAGGGCTTACTATGCATGCATCAATCTTAGCCTACATGTTCACCCTGGTTGAACAAAATCGCATCACTATAAGTTTGGACCAAGCAAACCCCACAGCCCCAAGCACCAATAATGTAACGTATGTGCAGGGCTTTGTCGCCAACCTCCTGAAGGCGGCCTTCCCTCACCTCACGGAGAATCAAATCAAGATTACTGTGCAAGGAATGAATGACCTGAATCAAGATGTTCCTGCTTTTAAGGAGCACTTGAGAGATTTCCTTGTACAGATCAGAGTAAGTTCAAAGCCAAGTTGAAGTGTTAAAGTATCAGGTTTCTTGTCGTGTTAAGGATTTGAGAATGATTTTTTAATTCTTAATTTCGGATGTAGCTGTGATAGCATTATTTGGATTGTTATGGAAAAGGGCAAGAGGCAGACAAAGGATTTTTGGTAGTGGGTTCAGAGGAATTCAACAATATAGATTGTCAAGATTTTAGGTCATGTGAAGCTATTGGATGCATAATTGTGAAGGGAGAGATTAGTAGATATAATTTTAAAAATTTCCCCAGTTGTGTGCTTAGTTTCCCTATAAAAGTCATATAAAGTTAAGCACATCACCCTTTAGATTCAAATTCAATTCAAATGCTTCACTGCCATCATATGACCCAAAATATGAGTTATTTGGCTTACTGGATTGGACACTCTGACAGGTGTGCAGCTTGTAGGCCAGGTGCAGTGAGAAGACTCTATGCCTCCCCTTTGCAATGTTATTTTCTCATTTTCTGCATAACGTTTTTATCTTTTTCGGCATTTTCCATTGTGTATATTTGTCTTTTGATTTACTTTATTCAGATGGTAATAGACTTTTCCATGCACAGACTCCATATCCTCTCTCTAAGTAATCCATAACCCATTGCAAGAATAATAACAAGAAGTAACATTTTGTTGTTCGTGTAATTTTTTATATTTTCACAATATTTGATTTTCTGTAATACAACCTGTTCTGATGGCATGTTTATGTCATTGCCCTTCAAGCCAAATTTTTCATGGTGTGATGGTCACGTCATTCAGATTTTAGGGGTAATGTGTTCTTGTTTATTGATTGTATTTACAGGTAGATGGCTCCACAAGTGCTTAATCACCAAGGAATCAATTACTAATTGTTTTCCCTTTCTTTGATTTTTGAAAGATTCTTATCTTTTATTGCTAATAGAGGTCTTAATAACATAATAGTCATAATATTAACAATACTAATAACAATATTAATAACATTAAAAACATAATTTTTCTGACTACTTAACCCACTAGATCTGGTTGTCACAACAATCACATCACCAAAAATCCGGGCATTAGGCTTACATAGTGGCCGCTGTGCAGGGTGGCTGCTTGCAAAATGATAACTTATGTGCCAATTTCTTAGAGGATAAATTGCCTTAAAGAATCTTTTTCAATACTTGACCATGGAAGTGTTGGATTTATCTGTGAAGTGTATTTTTATCAGCATTATGTCGAAAGAATAAAAATAGCTGATTCTCTAATGCTGATTTTTTTGTGGTAGGCAGAGAACTACCACAGAAGTGTTTATCATTGTTATATCATTTTCCTTTCATACGTTTTTATCTTTTCGACATTTTCCATTGTGTATATTTGTCTTTTGATTTACTTTATTCAGATGGTAATAGACTTTTCCATGCACAGACTCCATATCCTCTCTCTAAGTAATCCATAACCCATTGCAAGAATAATAACAAGAAGTAACATTTTGTTGTTCGTGTAATTTTTTATATTTTCACAATATTTGATTTTCTGTAATACAACCTGTTCTGATGGCATGTTTATGTCATTGCCCTTCAAGCCAAATTTTTCATGGTGTGATGGTCACGTCATTCAGATTTTAGGGGTAATGTGTTCTTGTTTATTGATTATATTTACAGGTAGATGGCTCCACAAGTGCTTAATCACCAAGGAATCAATTACTAATTGTTTTCCCTTTCTTTGATTTTTGAAAGATTCTTATCTTTTATTGCTAATAGAGGTCTTAATAACATAAGTGTCATAATGTTAACAATACTAACAACAATATTAATAACATTAAAAACATGATTTTTCTGACTACTTAACCCACTAGATCTGGTTGTCACAACAATCACATCACCAAAAATCCGGGCATTAGGCTCACATTAGTGGCTGCTGTGCAGGGTGGCTGCTTGCAAAATGATAACATATTTGCCAATTTCTTAGAGGATAAATTGCCTTAAAGAATCTTTTTCAATACTTGGCCATGGAAGTGTTGGATTTATCTGTGAAGTGTATTTTTATCAGCATTATGTCGAAAGAATAAAAATAGCTGATTCTCTAATGCTGATTTTTTTGTGGTAGGCAGAGAACTACCACAGAAGTGTTTATCATTGTTATATAATTTTCCTTTCAGGGTACTCTCATATCTATTATGATTTATTAGATATTTTACTAATATCCAGTTAGATATTGTGCAACTGTTGTTAGAATATAAAATCCTAGCACATTACCAAATTTTCATTCCACTTTGCAGGAGGTAACTGGTGATGATGACAGTGATCTGTACCTAGAGGAGAGAGAAGCAGCTCTACGGCAAGCACAGGAGGAGAAGCGTCGTGTGCAAATGAATGTGCCTGGCATCTTGAATCCCCATGAGATCCCTGAAGAGATGCAAGATTAAAAACCACAGTAAGAGACAGCTCACAATCATCACTGTCCATTTATATATCAAGCGACTATGTGAGACTTCATAAAGTAGACTTCGCTGTACTGTTGTTTCCATCTCATAAATGTCCGAAGTTCATATATTATTATATATCTGGAGATCTGCATACTTTTTCTGAAGTGTGTCATCCAGATGAGAGTTAACTGCAGCAACTACATGAAATTTTTTCAGATTGTAGCAAATTAAGTAGTAGTCTGGGCAAAGCTGTGAATTTATGATCGTATTCATAATAAGCAAGCTATCCTAACTTTGTTTCTAGTGAACATACGAGCTGTTCCATACTGGAATATTTTTTTTCCAAACCCTCCTGGAAAATATTTATTGAAGATGAGTTCATTTGTATTGTGTGGTTGTCTGATGGTTGACTTATACTTTTTGCAGAAAATGGCATTGTATTTGGTAACAGAAGAGCATATGGTGTGAGTGATAGTTTTTTTTTTATGTTTACAGCATTGGGTCCTATAATACAGGCAAAAAGTTCCTGACAGTCATGGTTTAAAAGAGAAATGCTCTCTTCACTTACATTTTTAACAACAGGTGGAACTATGCAAGTACTCTACAGTATTTTGTTCCATTATGAAGTAGCATGAAAGCAGAAAATGCCTTCTGTTACATCTTTGAGGCAGAAAGGATTAGAGAGACAATATCTGTTCTGTCATCTTGTTGTAATAAAATAATGCCTTTGCTTTTGCTTGTGCATGCATTGATCCCCCTTATAATCATCCCTCTGTAAGCACAAACTACCCTGTATGTTAAATTGTTATAAGTCTGTATGATGCACAGTAAAAATAGTACTATTTGTTAAAAGTAAAAGACAAGGCAAGGAGTCCTTCAGAGAATGATGATTTATTCTAATAACAGAACTATTCTTTTTTCTTTGTCGTTAATGAGATAATGTAACAAAACTGTGGAGGAAGATACAAATTTACTAAGTGTTTATTAAAATGATCAAAAGAGATGTACATTTGATAGGCATTACTAAAAGATGATCCATTTAGGGCCCTAACAGACTTGCTACTACTGTTTCTAGCTTTGTGTTGATTTCTGGAACTTGTTACTATTATTATTAATTTGTAGTTTTGGATTGCACTATCCGCTGTTTTATTATTTGGTTGTGAGAGAACATTTCTCTTTTGTTTTTTCGGCATATTGTCATCAGTCGGTCATTCATGAGAGATTCATCACAATGAGAGACTTCAGATCTTTGCTTTGTTAAGATAGTCTAGGGTTAGAATTCCATTATTTTGAAGTACAATTTGGCCTTTAGACTCCTAAGAACCATTGTTTTGTCTCTTGTTTTGAAGGCGATTTGAAAGCAAAGGGTTTGCAGTATGAAAAAATGTGTACCCTTAATAGAAGAAACTTGCAGGAACTTTCTAAATCTCTGTTCTGTCTGCTGCTGTATTATTACCGTGACTAGAAACATGGTATGCTTCTAACTGTATGAATTGATCTTAAGGTTTGAAGGAGTTGCAACATTGAGATATTATTATTTATTATTATTATTATTATTATTATTATTTTTTTTAATTATTATTTTATTATTATTATTATTATTTTATTATTATTTTATTATTATTTTATTAATATTATTAATTAATTAATTTTTATTAATATATATATACTTTTTTCTTTTCTTTTTTCATATTCTCATGATTGAAGCAGCTCCTGTGTGACCAAAGTCTACATTTTATGAATGTGTGTAATGTTTCTAGTTTTAAAGGCATGTATCATTTTTTGTTATGGGTGTTATGCAAGTGATGTCCTACATAAGATTTCAAAATGGCAAACAGAATAAGAGAATGTTGTTGGGGGAATGTTGCCGTAGTAAAATGCCAATTAGAATTTCTCTTTCTTTCTGTTTCCCTCCTCTCTCTTGCTTTCATTTCATCTTCTCATGTCAGCAGGAATATCTCGGAAAAAAAGAAGATACATGTGTTTCTGATGTATGTAGATTGCATAGAGAAGAAAGCATTTTTGATAGTGACACCAGTGATTGGGTAGAGAGAATGCATGTTTGGTATGGATGTGTATATGGATGGAGGTGGTTGCGTGGGGTAACTCGCGTACAAAAATTTGGTACACCATTTCATTAGTATTCCACAACATGGCATTAACAGTGTACAGTATTAGTTATCACTTATTAAAAATCATTCCATACATTATTTTCATTGAAAATTTATGTCTAAAGAGGTATGTGAATGTGTATCTTGTTAACAGTATCCATCCGTTCTTTATCAAGTCCTATAAAGTGTGTTGTAAATTTGATCACTGGAGTGGAGGATGTTGAGGAGAAAGCTGTATTGATTGATGTGATTTCTTTTTTTCTTTTTTATCACTGGTGTAGCAAAATCACAAAATTGACACTTGTTGACATTTATTCTTGTTAAGTAACATGAAAAACTTTGCAGAACTTGCCTGCATTGTTGTTTCACATTGATTGCCTCTGATTTTTGACAAGTGAGGATTCCAGATGAGCAAGTGTTGGCACTAAGCATAAACATGTTTGTGTTACTGTGGTGAATGCCACATCCTGATTGAGGGTCTTGATCATCATCATTTACTACAAGTTAGAAATGGTTCTGGTAATTTTGGCACTCAGTTGTTGCTAGTTGTGGAAAAAAAAAACTGTATCACGAGAAGAAAAGGATGAATGAATCCTCTTATGTTTCCCATTTACAAAAATCAAGTAGATATATATATATATTAAAAAATGTAAAAAAAAATAAATAAAAACAAAAATAAAAAACAAAAACAAAAAAAAACAGCTGTGGGAAAATTGCTAACTTTTGCAGAATGCTCTTATTTTTTTTTCTTGCTTTTTCCTTTTTTAAAGTAATATTTATTATGATTATTTTATTTTTTACTATTTTTCACTTCTTTCTCCCTCAAGAAATATTTTTGTTATACTCATCACATTTCTTGAACTAAACCCCTCCCGTGTAAGGTAGTGTGAGAGTATTTATATTTTGAGTACTTTGTTCTGTGTTCTGTATTGAATGTTAACAAGCTGTTAATAAATTAAGAATTGCCACCCTCCTTTTTTTTTTATATATATCTAGGGGCACCATTAAAGTATGGTAGTGTTGCCTGAAGTGAGACATTGCCACATGAAAGTGTTTCCTAGTCTGATCCACATGCTGTTTGTAAGGAAGTAGATTTTGGTTCTTTGTATGTGTATTACGCTTATTTTCTCTGTGTTTATTCATTTCCCACTATCTAGGGGCACCATTAAAGTATGGTAGTGTTGCCTGAAGTGAGACATTGCCACATGAAAGTGTTTCCTAGTCTGATCCACATGCTGTTTGTAAGGAAGTAGATTTTGGTTCTTTGTATGTGTATTACGCTTATTTTCTCTGTGTTTATTCATTTCCCCCAAATAGTGCTATATATATATATATCGTATATATTTAGCTGGTGGTAGGAGAGGGCCCAGAATAAACAGGTAATATAGCTGCAGATCATATTATAGAAGCCAACCTTATGTCAAGATTAATTAAGTTGTATCTCAGGTGTTCATTAAGCTTAATTTACCTTGACTAGTGAGGACTTGTTATACTATGATTTGTTAAGTAGGAATTTAGTGTAAGTTCTTTATTCATGTCACACAATTGTTTTGTGTCATTTTTGCCCAGTTCAGAGTAATACACTACCAGATGTGCAGAATGCCCTCTATGAGACTTGCCGTAGAATTTGTGGATTTGGTACAGTATTACAGTAATCCAGCTTTGCTTGTAAGTTGGTTGAAGAGTAATGTTAAAGAACTTCCAAGCAATTAGTTGATTACAAACATATCTGGCCACTTCCCATGTCCCTTAGCGGTAGTGGATGTAGACTTTTGCACGTGATGAGGAATTATGCCCTCATGAAATTGTCAGTTGAGATGACTGTGAAAATACCATCAGCAGTGTAGTGTGTTGAGGGCTGGAGGATGACATCAGTAAGCTTAGTGCAAAAAATTCAAGGAAAGGTTTAATAATAATTGTCTAATTATGAGATCAAAGACTGAAGTTCTTTGCCACAGGCTTGCCCATTTGTCTGCTTCCAGCCCATTAGTATGTTTGTTGTGCGTTTCTTCAGTGCGGTATCCACAGTCCTTTTATCTCTGTTTTAAGAGATGAAGGTTTAGTGTGACAGAACATTTTGATATTCTGCTATTTGTGCAAACTTAGCAAAATAAAAAAAAAAGTATTTTACAAGAGGATGATATTGTATTTTTCTCCTTGAGTCCATGGAACAGATTAATTTATGAAACTGTTGATTGATTGATTTTTTACCTTGATCCTAGGCTTCTGAGAGAGCTTTAGGCTTTTTGTGTATAATAGTGATCATAAAAATGTTCAAGAAATAAATTTTAAAACAAGAAACATTTAAAATTTTAATACAGGCTTAGTAATTTTGGGTTTAATATAATAACAGCATATTAGAATTTCAAAATGAAGGTCTTAACATGGTTTACAGTGCATTCATAATATATAAACAAAAAAAATTATAATTAGTTGGACTGAGATTGAATACAAGTAAACAAATAGTCATTCAAAACTTGATATGAAATGTCAAAACCGAATCAGTACAAGGCTACCCCATTTTATCTAGAGGCTACCATAAGTCCATCACCAATATTGCCAAGGTTACTTTCTGACATGACCTCCTCTTTAATCCCTTGAATCTGGACGACGTGACCGTCATGTCATGAAAAAATTCGAGAGGCATGTGACATGAACTTCCAAGGGTTTATTTTACTTGTTTGACAATTTTGCATCAATGTAGGAGTGTGGAATGAAATTACAATGAGCGGTGACTAGAAGAGCACCAGTTCCATGGAGGACTCCATTCCCATGCTCAGCATCGTATTCCTAGTGCCTTGAGTGGTGATGCAGGTTGTATTACAGAAAATTAATTACCAAAATAACAGAGTAAAAGAAAAGAAAATTATGTAACAGAGTTGTAGATTACCTAGAGATGATTGGAGTCTGGAGGGTAAAAAAAAACAAAAAAAAAACTGGATAATGAAAATCAAATGGCAAATCTGGACATTGGAAAATGGCCGAACAGCTAAAAACGTTAATGTGTAAAAAGAGTGAATAACTGTAAATAGGAGCCATAGAGTCTTGTCACTGCGGACATGTGTTTGCATATGCCAGCCTACAAGCAGCCACCTGGCAGAGTGGACGTTTGTGTAAATATGTATAGATTTTTGGTGATATGATACATTGGCAGAGAGTCCCTCCCTGTCCTACCATATCAACCTCCTCCTTGTCAGTGTCAGACTTGTTGGCGTCTGAGCCACCCTGCCAAACACTGCTGCTGCACAGACTAATGCTCTCTGTGTTCCTAACATGGACATTGATTGATTAAACTGCTCAGCACAATCATGCACATGTTCCATCTGTGGTGGCTACCATAACGTATTTTACAAGGATTATCCTACCAATAAGTTTGACACCCCAGTCTCCACCACCATCTCTGCCCAAGTCCTCGCACAAGACAAGCTAAATGTTCCACCCCATATTCTCCTATCTCAACCACTCATTCCACCCCTCAAACATCTTTCCCCTCTTCTCCCCTTCATAAGAAAACCTTTGTTTCTCAGACCTCCCTAACCAACTCCACTTCAGAAACTCTCAAAGGCATTCAAAACTATCTACTCATGACTCAAGATAAAATGCCTTCCCCAATCTCTCTGCTCCCATTCCTTCTACACTCAAAGTACCAGCTGACGGTTACCCTCCTCCTACTCATGTTCCCCCTACATCCCTTCCTCCCACTCCCACCAAAAACATCCATTCCCCCCTGCTTCAGCTATGTAATCCCCCCCTTCTTTCCCCATTACCCTTTCTGTGATTCCCCCTGGATACATGTGACCCTGTATAACAACAATTCCCTTACCTGGAGCCTGTCCCTCCTGTTCTAATTGCCCTTAAACCCGACAGGCCACGCCTCTTGGCATCATAACAAACCGCTCAATCTGTAGTATGTGGCTGTATGCCACAGTGCCGTGCCAAAGTGCTACGAGCCAGGCGTTCAGCTTGATGTAGCGAACTCCCGCGTTCAAAGTCAGTTTGTTGCCATTAATCTTTAGAGTGTAGTTTTTTTGTTTTTTTTCTCTTCATCCATTAGTAAGGATTAATCAAGAGCTTAAACTCATCACATCCAGTGGTGAGGGAGGTTCAAGATTGGCTTGTACTGATGTTAGCATGTAAAAAGATAACTGTGTTGGGTACCAGAGCATGTTGGTGTCATTGGGAAGGAGTGAGCTGATCAGAAGGCCAAGGCAGCAGCCGCTCAGCCCTGTGATGCTTGTTTTCCTCTCCCACACACTGACTTGAAACCCAGCATCAGGAGTTGTCTTCGCAATAGATAAAGAAACAAACTGCTAGAGATTAGAGATGACCTTGGCAATTGGGTGACCAGCATCCATCCCAACCGACAAGTAGAAGTTGTATTAACAAGGCTGAAAATCGGGCACTCAATCTTGTGTGCCTGATTGTGGGCCGATGATGGCTAAAAGTGAAGCAGTTGCACATATAGTAGAAGGCTGTGCAACATTCTCAGACCAAAGACGTATGTACTTGTTCCCCCCATATACACTGAAAAATGTATTGGGGGAGGATTGTGACATAGAAGGTTTTATTAGTTTACTTACGGATTTAACATTTAAAGCATAATATATATACTTTGATTTTTTAATATAATATTTATTGTTATTTATAAGACATACATCGGAATATTTTTAATGTTCTAAATATTTTAACATTTCAATCTAACAGGATATTCACCGCTAATGACGTTAGCTGATGACGCTGCAGATAATTTTAAATAATCAACCTTTCTCTCTTTGAGCTAATCTCCCTTGTTAATCTCTATCTCCCCAATCTGCCATGTGATTACTGACATGTAGTATATTTAATCAACTAACCCTCACTTTACCCTTTTCACGATTATACCTTTCTATAGTGTTCTATGTCCTCTGATGTCAAATCGTGCCATAACAGAGTTAACCCTTTGCCACTGGGTGGCTTGCTTGGACTATATTCTGGGTGGCCATTTTCCAGGGGCATGTATGGTCATACCACACACACTATGGTGCCGACGCGATCTCCTGGCAGCAGGGCCCAGGCTACTATGAATATAGCCCAGAAGAGAGGGTTTTTGCATTGCAAAACCACTTGGCAGCATTGGGTTAAATGGGCCTATGAATAGCTTGTGTGTCACCA